TTACGGCCATCGATCACAAGTACTTGGTGGATACTTCCTTAGAAAAAAACCCAGATCATGGGGGTAGGAGCCGCTTTTCTGGCCTCCAAGGTTACTACCGAAACCTGACATATGTTTTGAACATGACCCACAACACCCGTCTCCATAGTAGAAGAGCACACAATAGGAGTGGCAAGTGGCTCTGTTGCAGGAATGTAGCTCGGTGCCGCGTCAGTCCCCGCTGAACCACGTCCGATAATGATTGATTCAGAGAACAAGCAGGAGCGCGGCCGCCTTTGCCACTCCTCTGAGCTCCGTCTTCCTCTCTCTCTCTTTCTCCCTCTCGCTTCCTCTCTCTCTCTCTCTCCCACTCTCTTTCTCGCTCTCTCCTTGCACTGGGCGTTATAAACGCAGTACAACTATTCCGGAGGAGCCTACTACTACGACCCGCTGATACCCTGTGACTCTTCGTCCTCATCGGCGCCTGGGTCAACCTCTGCATCGGTGAGATCGAAGCTCTTCTAGAATACACTAGCGAGAGAGAACACTAGCAAAAGAGAGACCGAGATACGATGGCGACAAGGCGTAGTGCGATCTACTTGTCTTGCTGGAGCCGTCCATTCGATCGCGAGATGTAGGTGTGGGCCGTTCGTTCTTTGCTCGGGTAGCGAGACTCGTCCATTGTCTCCGATGTGCTGCTTGGTATCACAACTCCAGTAAGGTCTTGGCGCGTTCTGATACCAAACGTTTCGAATCGGCTGTCATTTGCATTTTGCCGTTTACATAGAAGTCGAAGTACCCGCAGCACCAGGTAGCAGTAATCTCTGGTTGTTCCGCTCTGTTGGGACTGGAAGCCGCATGGTCTAGTTGTATTATAGGCTCCGCTTGGTCTTGTTGTATTGTAGGCTCGACACTTGATATTCGGGCGACCATGCATGGATAGATGCGCGGGAGGGAAGTGAAACACCGCCGAGGCGTGCAATGGGCGATTCACCCTCTGGCGTGGAAAGGTTCGGTTCGTGCATGCATGTGCGTGTGCACTTAGGGGCAGGGTGTGAGCGAAGCCCTCCTCATGGGTGCAAGGCGGCGGCATGCGGGCCGCACAATATATCCGTGGCCGACGCGACCATGGGCCTTAGTTCTTCAGCCAAAGAGGCAACATTCGTGGAGTAGTGTAGCGCATAATAGGTAATGCAGAGTGCGCCCCATAGTGATACACTCCAGATGTGAGGATGGAAACGAACTACATGGAAAACAACGACTACAGTAACCCTCATAACAAGCGCGTTTCGTTGTCGTGTGCCCAGGTGACCCCGGCACCTGAGCCAACGCCTGAGGCAACGACCGAGGCATTTGCCGAGGCAATGAACGAGGAATCCTCCGAGCCAACGATCGAGCCAACAATCGCGCCAACGCCTGCGCCAACGACGGTGCCGACGCCTGAAGCTACGATCGCGCCAACGATCGCGTCAACGGCCGAGGCAACGATCGAGCCGACGATCGAGCCAACGCGAGCGGCAACGCTCGAGCCAAGGGCTGAAGCCACGATCGCGCCAACGATCGTGTCAACGGCCGAGGCAACGATCGAGCCAACGCCCGCGGCAACGGTCGAGCCAACGGCTGAAGCCACGATCACACCAACGATCGAGTCAACGGCCGAGGCAACGATCGAACCAACGCCCGCGGCAACGCCCGAGCCAACGGCTGAAGCAACGATCGCGTCAACGACCGAGCCCACCGCTGCAATCGGTGAGTATTTCCGAAGATAGGTCAATTCTCCTGCCCCTGCTGGGCGCTACCACTCAACCTGTTTGGATGTATTTTATAATGGTATGGACCACTTTTGTGCCCGAAAATTCCATTGTGCCCGAAAATTCCAAACGGAATGGCACCGATATTTTGGGGAGTCCACCGCGTCGTACCCTGGGCTAGGGAGCCAAACTTCGAATATATGTCGGGATTAGTATCCAACCATCATGATCCACAGCAAGTAACCCACACGCACACACAAATAGCCATCTGGCGGCGGGGCGCGTTTGAAGGCCTCCCTGAAAGGGCGACGTGAAGAAGGCGGTGGAGAAACAATACAGGGTACAAGAAATCTCAGCGCTCGAAAAGAAACGCGTACTCGAACATTGGTTCTCTTGGCGTCGCCGTGCTGTCTATTGGGCGGTCACGCCGAAAAACATACATGATCCACAAGAGCAGGGACAACTAGAATAGTAGCGGAAGAGAGGGTTCCACACAGGCAGACAGACAGACAGATGGTTCGAAAACGTGAGGGGGAGCCGAAACGACACTAATTGTTGGACTACGTCAACAATGGCGAGAGAGCGGAACTTGCTGGCTGTGAGAAGTATTGGCAGACTGTTCCACTGGAAGACCCAGTACTTCTTACAAAATGAAAGAAGACTGCTGATAATGCGGGAGTAAAGGCGATGACAGCGACGTTCTTGGTGTAGAACAGCAGCAGGGGAATTGTCACCCACCGCATGGCCGAAGGACGACGAGCAATTGCATGGAAAGCGTATTGAGCTAAGTAGTGGGCAACATGAATTTGAGGGAATAATTCATAGCAACACATCAAGTCCACAGAAATGAACACGAAATAAAGTAGCAGGTTCCGGTCCCGCATGTTGAAACGCTTGGTTTGGTCACCCTGCTGCGCGACAACAACAACAACAAATCAGCACACTCCACTCCAACTATCACCAAAAACATTTTTCGCGTACTTCTCGCGCCCGCACGACCCGATCTCCAACCCGTACGTTTCAAGAAACAGAGAGTACGTGTCGCGACGGCATTGAGGGCATCGACGGCCGCGTCGTCTGCTGCCCGCTCGAGTGTGGCCAGTGCGGAGGGACGGGATGCAGCACTTCTGGCGCCGCGTACGGTCTTGGCGCTGACTCTTGCTGTAGAGAACCGGTCAGTTCTAGCGGCAAATACTGTGACGACACCGGCGAAGCCCCATGCATCTACGGCAGTGCCCCCGATGCTGACGACGACGACGACAACGACGACACCAACGAGGGTGATGCTGAAGACGACGATGACGAAGGTGAACGCCATAGCAGTCTGGTAGCCCAAGCCTCCTGTCCGCTTACAGTGGCTATGTGCCATGAGCAAGGATATGCGTCGTGGAAAATCTTGATAGCAGTGCTGCCTGCACCTCAAAATTTCGAACTCACCATCACATAACCAAACCGAAATTCATTGGACTTGTCCGTTTCAAAACAGAGAGTACGTGCAGCAATGGCCTCGAGGGCATCGACCACAGAGGCGAGATCTGTTGTTCGCTCGGGTGTGGCCAGTGCGGAGGTCCAGGATGCGACGCTTCGGGCGCTTCGAACGGTCTCGGCGCTGAGTCTTGCTGCCCACCAGAGGTGCACGATAGCGGTAGATACTGTGACGACACCAACGAGGCCCCGTGTATCATTATAGCCGACGGCGACCACAACGACGACGACGACGACCATAACGACGACGACCACAACGACGACGACGATAACGACGACAACGACGACGACGATGATGACGACGACCACGACGACAACGATGACGATGAGGACGACGACGACGATAACGACGACGACGATGACGACCACGATGACGACCACGCTGCCTGAAGGGGGAGCATGAATCGGAGACCAGAACGGCGAACGCCAGGTTTTTCTTCACCGTCAACCCCGTCCCTCAACGGGGTGGATGGCTGCACAAGGGTTTTCAAAGACCACTGTGCGGTGGCATTTTTAATGGGATTGTGCACGTGGGCGACGCACGCAAGTGCATTTCGATCGACCGAGGGGCAAGCGTTGCCCCATTTTTGTTTACGTTGTCTCCTGTTTTCTCGCCGGATCATCATTGTAGTATTCGGATACGGAGGTAATACTTTTTGATGTAGTCAAGTGTCCTTGCCAAGCGCAACTCCAGCATGCGCTACTGTTCAGTGCATTGTCTAGACTAGATGCCCCTTTTGCTTCGAGGCCACGTCTTACGAGACGCGTATATGCCTCCGCAACAGCGCCGACGCTCAGGGCAAGTTTTTGGACCCGGCCCATTGACCCTTAAGAGTGCACTGCCTCGCATGACGGGTGCCTCCACGAATACTGCTGACAAGCATGCCAGTTTGGCATCTTGCAAGGGTGTGTGTGCAAGGCAGGGGGGTGGTTACCCATCGAAAACAGCGTCAATAATTTTGTCAACACGTTGTGGTGGTGTGCTTTGCTTCCTCATGCCGATGAAGTGTACGTAGGTATTTCTGTCTCTTTGCCAACCATGTAAATGGTACAACGCAGGTCTTGCTTTTGGTGTCAGGTGAGGTGTCTGTGTCGTGGTTTGGAATGACCCTCACAGTTGCTTTCGGTCGTGATGCATTTTTGGTCCACCACCACCCCTCGAATAAAGTTGAATTTTGGAAACACGCTCAATCTCACATGCGCATGCATGCGTGTATTATAGTTGAATTATTAGTTTAATACGGCCCGGCCGGGGGGGTAGCCCACGGCGTCGTTTGAAGCCGACAGGTTGTTTGTTTCGTTCGGTGCGACGAGTCTAGTCTATGTAGCACGAGAGAGCAGTGTGTGAGAATAGGGATGGGATAGAATGCATCGTGGACGTGAGGGTTTGAGGTTTTAGTTCACTCCTACAAATAATAGTGTTGTTACAGTTCGCACGCCCCAGGCGTCGAAATTGTTGGCGAGGAGCGTTCTCTACCGCCATTCATATAGGAAAGGGGGGGCTGGGGGAGCCCAATTATCATTTGCTATGACTAGTTCTCAGTATTTGGTGTGCGTTGCATCTACAATAGGTCCATATGCCCCTAGGGCTGTCAAAACAGGTCGTTCTTATCGACTGCTAACCTCCGGGCGTTCTCGGGGCTCCAGTTTTGTTCTCCTTCGTTAGTCTATGCACTGGGCAGGATGCATCCCTATACTGGGGCGTGCTTTGCACTGATTTTGTTAACGCAAACCACCAGATGTTGTCAGCGATATAACTGTTTTGGACCCACCCAACGCTCGTGATCAGGAGGCGTTCCTGCAATACTTTGAGAGTTCCTTGGAGAGTGTTTGCGAGTTCGAGTCTCGCCAGAGTGAAATGAAACTCTTGAAATACACACCTGGTACCAAGTGAAAGCAAGTCTTGCGTGCAATAGGGTAGCTGAACGAACCCTTCTCGCGTTGAACCTGGAGGGAAGCACCGGGGGAGGAAAGGGGGACAGGTGGAGAAACCCTCCCGGTGTGACCTCGTTTGGTACGTCACTCGTATTCCACAGTCGCGCAGGACATGCAATGCCCCGTTGACGGCCAGTAATTTGGCTCCGAACGAAACCAATCCTACAGATGCACTCTCTCACTCTGTAGATTCCGAGCAGTGTTTCGCTGGGTGGAACTACCATAATGTTTTGGCGTTGTTGCGGCTCTGGGTGGCCATGCGGTGATATAGGACGAAGGGATGTTCTTGGTCGATTTCATCAGGGCCGTCTCCCCTTTTATCGTTGCCGCCGAAGCATCGCGGACATCTGGCTGGATACAGTGCGCTCACAGGTCAATTTCGTCTACGAGGAGCAGAGTGACCCCTGGTGGCACACGCGCCACGGTATCGTGGGCAAAGAACGCAATCGAAGGCCAGTCGCCTACGGGCGGGGACCGAGCTCCTACACAGATGCAGTAGAATCGAAATAGGAAAGTCACAGTGCTTAAGCGGGGTTGTGGGAATCTACCATCAGTTGTGACGCCCCAGAGGACCAAACCGCGTGCCCCGACCCATGTAAGGCCCCCCAAAACGTCCGGGAATGTGGGCTTGGCTGCCTGGTGGGATAATTCAGACAGAGAAGGGATTTCCTGTACAGTGCGGGAACGTGAAGAACTGCCTAAGGAAGAGCGTACAACATGTGTGCACTATTGCTCATCTAGCTTATCTTTTCGTTATGGGCCCTTCTCATCGGGTTCCAGTAGTTAGGAGGTTTTTGCAACCGCAACGAGGAACCATTGACCGGTCAGCCTGGCTCGTCGTCGGGATCGATCTATGTCGGTTGCTGCGTCGTGGGGTCCATTTGATGGGGCACTTTTTCTCCTTCCGAGGAGGGTCGCTCCCCTCGCGAGCACTAACCCTAACCCTTTCTTCTCCAATCACTACCAACGTTCTGTTCAGAGTGTCCAGGGTCTCAGACGAAAAGCCTTTTCGTCACCGATACTCTATCCAAGATTTTCGAGGGTCCCAGGAAAAACCTGAGTGTTCGTTCAGCCTGGACTTCGAATCCACTTATTATAGTATAGTTGGAAGAAAACCGTTGGGTGAGTTATGTTGGGTTAGGGTTAGAAATCCCAGACTGAACACTTGAGGTGGCTTTTCTTTCTGGGCCCCAGATACTCTTGGAGGAGAGGAGCTGTGGAAATTCTCGACGTCTCCGACTCTGGACATTCTTAACTTACTGTGGTCGGTGAGCTGAGAAGGAATCCTGCGAAACAAAGCATCAGACGACACTAACCCTGTTGAGGGAAATGACCCAGGAACGTGTCGGGTCATACAGCAGTGACCCCACGACCTACTAAAATCAAACCTTGAGACCAGTCAGTGCTCACTGGCATCGTTGCTTGACTTAGCTTGCAAAAGGGGCTGACATGCTCCGTGCTCAGATTATGTTAGGACTTCTATACTCGTGCGATGGGACGTTTTCTGGGTCGTCTCGGTCTTGGTTAGACAAGCCTCTGACGGGGACATGCCATGGCCATGAGCATGCGGTTGCACGAGGACGGAGAGGAGGAAGTACCAGAAGAGGCCAGGGAAGTTTTGCTGTGGAAACAACATGTAACACGACAACAACAGATCCCAACGTCACGGGCGTACCATTATGCTTAGTGGTGAATAGCGGCCATGTGACTTTAGCTGGCAGTGAACAAAGTGTGCCTCCGAGTAGTCCGTGCAGTGTTGGGTAAACTTCTAGGGCTATTTTTTTGGAGACGAACCCGTACCTTACAGAGAAACGCGACCATCCGTTCGACGTATACATTTCTTCTTCAGCATTTTCCCCACCACGAGCAGCTAATCATGCCGGGTAGCACCATGACCAGGATGAAGGAGATTGCAAGGGGACCGTAACCTGTACGTATGTGGCTCCTGGGCCGGTATGGAGTGCACAATTCTTGGGGCTACGATGTCCTTGATGTTCGACCAGGGAAAAACCCGCTCCGTCATTCATCGACGACGTCCATTATAAACGGGATGGCATCACGGAGGTTACCACAACCTAATCGGCGATGCGCTCTGGCCCAATTGCCGCAGCTCGCACTTCCGTATGTTCTCGCCATCTCACTCACTGCCGCCGCCATTGGTTACGGAGCCGCTTTGATGCTAACCGTGCCAACATACAAGCGGACCGAAGAGTGCGAATTCGCCTGATCCACTTGGTACTGCACCAACCAAAAGTGTTGCTGTTGTTGTTGTTGTTGTTGTTGTCTTCACATTGAAAACCGTTCCGATCTCTCGCTACCCAGTGCCTTCATCTGTCCGTACTGATCTATCACTTGACGCGGTCGATTCCCGTGGTCACACAGGCAAACTTACCCTAAACAAAAAGGATGCCGCACAGAAAGATATGAACACAGCACGTGCCCGGTGAGCACCACGCGCTTGATCGAGCGGAATTCCGCCAAAACGCACCCACGGCTACAAACCCACGAACCCACACCCCCAACCCCGGTGTAATAACGCCAACGTGCATTGAAACACACGAGATACTACTGTACCACATGAATGACTTCCGAGCCCCACCCTTGCGCCCAACTTGCTTGGGGATGCACTTCTGTCTACCTCGTTCACTAAACATTGTTGGTTTGCACCACGGTCAGGGTGCGAGGAAACCCATCGGTTGTGCCTGTTCTTGGAGCCAACCCTCTGATGCGTGGGCGTTATCCGCCCCAAACCGCTCCCAGAAGGAAACCACCGTTTCGGAGGCCTCCCTCAGCTAGTGCAATGACAAAAAACAAGACATGCCATGTATGCCTGCCCACCACACACAGATACCTGTCGTTCATGCGCCGGTTGCCTCCCATAGAATCCGCGAGGCGTCTCTGTCAGCTGTGTTTCCCCTTCGATCGCGCCAAAGATCGTGCTACAAACGGAGGACCCTGTAGACGCTTAGTCAACACAGCAGAGGTCCCTGTTTTGTGCCGGTTGAATAGTGCCGGTGTTTCGGCGGGCACACCCTGAGCTTCCAAGGCATTTCTCAATGCTTTCAATACTGGCGACCCCGGCATAATGCCGGTGAATTTCCGTGCACATACCGACACCAAACAGGGACCTCTACCGTACGACAGCCCCGAAGACGAGACCGCATACGATCGATAAATTTCCATCACTTTCCTCAGCCAAGCGGGGGTTCTACGCGGATAAATACTGTTGCAGCCCCCACTTTCTTCGTCCGACAATGAGCTTCTCATCACCCAGCTAAGATTGCGAAACCTGCGAATAGTTCATTCCCTCCTAGGTTCAACAACCACAACCAACGCTCGAAACACTCGCTCCACTACGAAGCGCTTTCTAAAACAAACGCAGTGTAGTTTCCCGCCCCATGAAATTACTTTTCAACGAACACATGTAGGTTCCCGCACAAATGTTAGCTACGAAGTTCTTCCAACACAAACAACCGTGCCCATGGAAACTACGAAGAGATTTCAACAACAAAAACAGCAGAACAACACGCCCGGGGATACACACCACTGCTGTACACAGAACAAAATAAAATCTATCACCGGCCACTTATTAAACACGACAGGATTCCCCCAATCATCTGGCCTTGAAGGTGTTCTTCTCCCAGCCCAGATCTCGGCCGAGCAGCTGGTAAAGCTTCTTGTTGAAGGGTTCGTAGAAGTCTTGCAACGCCTGACAAGGGCAAAAAAAAAAGGAGGGGGGGGGGGGGGGGGGGGGGTTTAAGAATTTAAAGGGGAAAAAACAACCTTTTCACAAAAAGCGGGGGGAAAAAAGTAAAATTTTTTTTAAAAAAACCCCCCCCCCCCTGCCCCCGGGCAAAAAAAAACCTTTTTGGAGGAAAAAATTTTATTTTTTTTTTGGCGGGGAAACCC